GATACATTACACTGATGGAGTATGCTATAGGTGATACATGACACTGATGTAGTATGTTAAAGGTTATATATGACACTCATGGAGTATGCTTTAGGTGATACATGAAACTGATGAAGTATGGTATAGGTGATGCATGAAACTGATGAAGTATGGTATAGGTGATGCATGACACTGATGTAGTATGGGATAGGTGATGCATGACACTTATGAAGTATGGTATAGGTGATACATGACACTGATGTAATATCGTATAGGTGATACATGACACTGATGTAGTATGGTATAGGTGATGCATGACACTGATGTAGGATGGTATAGGTGATGCATAACACTGATGTAGTATGGTATGGGTGATCTATGACACTGATGTACTATGGTGTAGGTGATGCATGACACTGATGTAGTATGGTATAGGTAATGTATGACACTGATGTAGTATGGTATAGGTGATACATGGCACTGATGTAGTATGGTATAGGTGATGCATGACCCTGATGTAGTATGGTATAGGTGATACATGGCACTGATGTAGTATGGTATAGGTGATGCATGACACTGATGTAGTATGGTATAGGTGATGCATGACACTGATGTAGTATGGTATAGGTGATACATGACAATGATGGAGTATGATATAGGTGATACATGACACTGATGTAGTATGGTATAGGTGATACATGACACTGATGTAGTATGGTATAGGTGATGTATGACACTGATGTAGTATGGTATAGGTGATACATGGCACTGATGGAGTAAGCTATAGGTGATACATGACACTGATGGAGTATGGTATAGGAGATACAAGACACTAATGGCGTATGATATAGGTGATACAAGACACTGATGGAGTATACTTTAGGTGATACATGACACTGATGTAGTATGGTATAGGTGATGCATGACACTGATGTAGTATAGTATAGGTGATGCATGACACTGATGTAGTATGGTATAGGTGATACATGACACTGATGGAGTATGGTATAGGTGATGCATGACACTGATGGAGTATGGTATAGGTGATACATGGCACTGATGGAGTATGCTATAGGTGATACATGACACTGATGGAGAATGGTATAGGAGATACAAGACCCTGATGGAGTATGGGATAGGTGATACATTACACTGATGGAGTATGGTATAGGTGATGCATGACACTGATGGAGTATGGTATAAGTGATACATGGCACTGATGGAGTATGCTATAGGTGATACATGACACTGATGTAGTATGGCATAGGTGATACATTACACTGATGTAGTATGGCATAGGTGATACATTACACTGATGTAGTATGGTATAGGTGATACATGACACTGATGTAGTATGGCATAGGTGATACATTACACTGATGGAGTATGCTATAGGTGATACATGACACTGATGTAGTATGGCATAGGTGATGCATGACACTGATGGAGTATGGTATAGGTGATACATGGCATTGATGGAGTATGCTATAGGAGATACATTACACTGATGTAGTATGGTATAGGTGATGCTTGATACTGATGTAGTATGGTATAGGTGATGCATGACACTGATGTAGTATGGTATAGGTGATGCATGACACTGATGTAGTATGGTATAGGTGATGCATGACACTGATGAAGTATGGTATGGGTGATGTATGACACTGATGTAGTATGGTATAGGTGATACATGGCACTGATGGAGTATGCTATAGTTGATACATGACACTGATGGAGTATGCTATAGTTGATACATGACACTGATGTAGTATGGCATAGGTGATGCATGGCACTGATGTGGTATGTTATAGGTGATACATGACACTGATGTAGTATGGTATAGGTGATGCATGACACTGATGTAGTATGGTATAGGTGATATATGGCACTGATGGAGTATGCTATAGTTGATACATGACACTGATGTAGTATGCTATAGGTGATACATGACACTGATGTAGTATGGCATAGGTGATGCATGACACTGATGTAGTATGGTATACGTGATGCATGACACTGATGTAGTATGGTATAGGTGATACATGACACTGATGTAGTATGGTTAGGTGATACATGACACTGATGTAGTATGGTATAGGTGATGCATGACACTGATGTAGTATGGTATAGGTGATACATGACACTGATGTAGTATGGTTAGGTGATACATGACACTGATGTAGTATGGTATACGTGATGCATGACACTGATGTAGTATGGTATAGGTGATACATGACACTGATGTAATATGGTTAGGTGATACATGACACTGATGTAGTATGGTATAGGTGATGCATGACACTGATGTAGTATGGTTAGGTGATACATGACACTGATGTAGTATGACATAGGTGATGTATGGCACTGATGTAGTATGGTAGAGGTGATGTATGACACTGATGTAGTATGGTATAGGTGATGCATGGTACTGATGGTGTATGGTATATGTGATGCATGACACTGATGTAGTATGGGATAGGTGATACATGACACTGATGGCGTATGGTATAGGTGATGTATGACACTGATGTAGTATGGTATAGGTGATGTATTGCACTGATGTAGTATGGTATAGGTGATGTATGACACTGATGTAGTATGGTATAGGTGATGTATGACACTGATGTAGTATGGTATAGGTGATGTATTGCACTGATGTAGTATGGTATAGGTGATGTATGACACTGATGTAGTATGGTATAGGTGATGTATGGCACTGATGTAGTATGGTATAGGTGATGCATGACACTGATGTAGTATGGTATAGGTGATGTATGACACTGATGTAGTATGGTATAGGTGATGCATGACACTGATGTAGTATTGTATAGGTGATGCATGACACTGATGTAGTATGGTATAGGTGATGTATGGCACTGATGTGGTATGGTATAGGTGATGCATGACACTGATGTAGTATGGTATAGGTGATGCATGACACTGATGTAGTATGGTATAGGTGATACATGACACTGATGGAGTATGTTATAGGTGATACATGACACTGATGTAGTATGGTATTGGTGATACATGACACTGATGTAGTATGTTAAAGGTGATACATGACACTGATGGAGTATGCTATAGGTGATACATAACACTGATGTAGTATGGTATAGATAATACATGACACTGATGTAGTATGGTATAGGTGATACATGGCACTGATGGAGTATGGTACAGGTAATACATGACACTGATGTAGTATGGTATAGGTAATACATGACACTGATGTAGTATGGTATAGGTAATACATGACACTGATGTAGTATGGTATAGGTAATACATGACACTGATGTAGTATGGTATAGGTGATACATGACACTGATGTAGTATGGTATAGGTAATACACGACACTGAAGTAGTATGGTATAGGTGATACATGACACTGATGTAGTATGGTATAGGTAATACACGACACTGAAGTAGTATGGTATAGGTGATACATGACACTGATGGAGTATGGTACAGGTAATACATGACACTGATGTAGTATGGTATAGGTAATACATGACACTGATGTAGTATGGTATAGGTAATACATGACACTGATGTAGTATGGTATAGGTAATACATGACACTGATGTAGTATGGTATAGGTGATACATGACACTGATGTAGTATGGTATAGGTAATACACGACACTGAAGTAGTATGGTATAGGTGATACATGACACTGATGTAGTATGGTATAGGTAATACACGACACTGAAGTACTATGGTATAGGTGATGCATGACACTGATGTAGTATGGTATAGGTAATACATGACACTGATGTAGTATGGTATAGGTGATACATGACACTGATGTAGTATGGTATAGGTAATACACGACACTGAAGTAGTATGGTATAGGTGATACATGGCACTGATGGAGTATGCTATAGGTGATACATGACACTGATGGAGTATGCTATAGGTGATACATGACACTGATGGAGTGTGGTATAGGTGATGCATGACACTGATGTAGTATGGTAAAGGTGATGCATGACACTGATGTAGTATGGTATGGGTGATGTATGACACTGATGTAGTATGGTATAGGTGATGCATGACACTGATGAAGTATGGTATAGGTGATGCATAACACTGATGTAGTATGGTATGGGTGATGTATGACACTGATGTAGTATGGTATGGGTGATGTATGACACTGATGTAGTATGGTATAGGTGATGCATGACACTGATGTAGTATGGTATAGGTGATGTATGACACTGATGTAGTATGGTATGGGTGATGTATGACACTGATGTAGTATGGTATAGGTGATGCATGACACTGATGTAGTATGGTATGGGTGATGTATGACACTGATGTAGTATCGTATAGGTGATGCATGACACTGATGTAGTATGGTATAGGTGATACATTACACTGATGGAGTATGCTATAGATCCACGCAATTGGGATACGATGACATGCATCAACCAGGTCAGAGAGCCTGATCATCCGATCCCGTTAGTCGCCTTTTACGACAAGCACATTCGTCTTTTACGACAAACATAGGTTGATGGAAAGACTTCCGCCTACCAAGATGACTACCCTTCCTCGTGCGTTGGGCCTCTATGGTCAAATGGTTGAGCATCCGCCCGGAGAGCGAAGGTCCGGGGTTCGATGCCCTGCCGCGTCATACCAAAAGACGTTGAAAGATGGTACTTGTTGTTACCATGTCTGACGTTCGGCATTAAGGAGCTAAAACAAGGACTGGTCGGCCCGGAGTCAGTATACTGTGTCTGAGTGGGGTATTCATGTTAAACTGCGGCATGGTATCTCAGTGTGCTAGCACTATAAATCGGCATCAGTCCTGACTAGTACAAGCAGCCACACACACACACACATACACTTACATGCACGTCGCTATATAAGTGCAATGATCTTGGACACGACGTTAAACCCCATTTCACCTCACCTCACCTCGTGCGGTGGAGGCGACACTTTGGCAACCATGTCGTCACTTTAACAACATTTTGCCCGACAACCGGACACTGATCCCAAATAAAACCGAACACCAAACACAAGATACAAATATTTATTGCAACGTAACTCTATCACAGGTTAGCTTTCGATGTTTATTGCCTTACATTGCCACTCGTGGTGCGTTCGATTAGAAAAAACAGGTTAACTCAAAATTGAACAGTAACATAGGATATTTCGTTTCGACAAGCCGACTGTTATTATTAATCTAAAATTAAGAACCTAGGACCAGTAATAAGACTCTATGTGGCACGATATTATAGGAGGTTTATAAAAATATTACATGGATATACATTTCCGTTCTTGTAGACTTACCACACCTCTTTCCAAAACGACATACGACTGAAAATCGCTGTCTCTGCATGTACCGTTATGTACCGTCTGCTCCAGATATACAGATAAAATTGAGGAAATATCCAACGTCGATGGTTCAAGGATAGAGGGTTCTAATAGTTGCACTGCCCTAAACTCCACACTGATGCCAGACCGGACCTATATGAAACACGCGCAATGAGTGAGTAAGCGTAAGAGTGAGTGAGTGAGTATTGTTTTACGCCGCCTTAGGGGCAATATTCCAACATTGTACCCGTGTGAGGAATCGAATCCGGTTTTCGGGATGGACGAGTGATCACTTTACCTACCAGTCTGACCCACCGCCGCTCTAGTAATATGAATGTGATATGTTCCGTATCGGAACTGTCATGCTCTTGTGAGAACAATAAATAAATAAATAAATAAATTAATTAATAAATATCAATTTCGAAAAGATTGTTTTTAATTGTTATTTAAATGATTACTGTGCCGACAGTCTAATTCACTATATGATATCATTTACATATGTTTGAATTCTAAACGTCAAGGACGTGAACATGGGAACGTTTCTTTTGAACAGTAGTGTAAGTTGAGGTTTACACAAACTGGGCTTCGTTCTGTCAAAACATGGTTATGTAACATTGCTACGTGACGCAAACCAAGCATCTTCATACATGTGCATCTAAATGTAATGGCATGGAGACTTATCGCTTACCCCGACGTAATGTGACCTGACATTTCTTTCTGCTGCGCGCACGCGCACGCACATGCATACGCACACAAGCATAAACACGTTCGAATGACGTCCTAGAGTCAATATTAAATTATCTATGGACCTCGAACACAACGAATACCGTTCACACGTAACCTAACACTACGCACTATACGTAACAATGCGCCACTAACCGTAACATTGTACGTTAATCTGGTTAGCTGAGAACATGGTTATTAATGTCACTGAGCGATGATAAAGTCGCCATATTCCAGGGTCATCGTACATATGTGCACCTGGAGATAATAGCATAAACTGCTTAACAGGGAGAAAAAATTAAATGTCGAGTTAAGAATGTAATAATAATTTTGTTTGTTTAACTCTGGTCTCAGTTATAGTCCAGCTTTATGACGGCAGGCTGTAAATGATCGAGGCTGGATATGAGAACTCCCTGGTTGATACAAGTAGTCATGATCCACGTACCCCACCAAGTCAACGTGTCTGACCAGCCCATCCATTACGTCACCTCTGCCGACCAGCATAGCTGCGAGAGACACGTTTCTAACGGTATCCCCGAGGCAAAAAGAACGTGATGACGACTTTGACAACAGAGACGTTTCCTGCGATACCATTCCATTTCCCAACGTTGTTTCTACACAGGCAACGAATACGATTCTTCTACAGCGGATTGCAAAGCGTTGACACCGCGCCGGACAAGGAAACAAACACATTACATTGGTATCAATATCCCAAGACTATTTTAAGTGGCATTTAGAAGATGGTATGAAGAACAAGGAAGATAGGTCTATGGATATACAACGTTTGTATTACAATGACTGCGGCGTTTGGGTGTAGATACTGACTCTGTTATATCGCATTCATTGTAATAACGAAGTTGTATATCCATAGAACTTCCCCGCTTGTACATTCCAAGACTAGTTGCCTATCAAATAATAACGTCATAATGCACGCATATTCACAAAATATTATCAGCTTTTCACACAAACTTTGACATATTCGATCATCCCGCGGTAATCAATGGAAGCAATATCATAACATGGCGCTGTCGGTGAGTTAGCGAGACGGCTCGTCAAGCAGTGTGTGAAGTTCTGTCCGTAACATATTGGTGCATCTAATACCACTAGCAGACATGCCACCTTCCTGGACAGACGCTCGTTAGCTCTCAACAGGGTCGTGACGTCATCTTAAAATGGCGGCGCCCATCGAGCTGTACTTTTCAGGTTCCTCGTGCGCACTTTCCAGAACATGTTCCTTGTTCTCGGGTTTTCCGTTTCTTGGATTTTGAACACTTGAACACACGATCTACTCTCAACCCGTCTTCTTCTCTCCATCGCTTGGGGAGTGAATGAGCTTTACTCCCTTAGGACGCACAGACTTGTCTTTACCGGAAGTAGGCGATGCGCATGAATCAATTTGATCACGTGTTACTTTGGGTTTATGGCCGAGTATTTCTAGGATGGCATCAACAGTGGTGTACAGTTCGTTTTCAAAGTTGTGCATACGGCTGGAAAAGAAAAACATGTATATTATAACGCCGTCCCCGACAATGGATATTGATATAAACGTATAAAACTAATGTGGATGGTTTATGCCTGACACGTCAAAGGAATCTCTGACGTTCAATGAAATAAGTTTACTGTTTACAGATTTAATCTCATTCAGCGTAATGCAGGCGTGAATCAAAATTACAAATAACTTCACCAAAAGCAGTTTTCAATTTTATTGACCATTTCCAGTATGCATTATATTAACCACTTTTTGCCTTTTTTTTATTGACATTATACCTTTGCATGTCTCGCTCCAAGCATGGATTTTGTTATAATTTTTAAATAACTGCCCACATAATCTCCTAGTTCTTTCTCCTGAAGATAACGGGACTCCAGTACTGCTTAGACACAACGGCACACCACCACGTCTTGAACATAATGCGACACCAGTACGGTTTAGACATAACGGCACACCACCACGTCTTGGACATAACGGCACACCACCACGTCTTAAACATAACGGCACACCACCACGTCTTGGACACAACGGCACACCACCACGTCTTGGACATAACGGCACACCACCACGTCTTAAACATAACGGCACACCACCACGTCTTGGACACAACGGCACACCACCACGTCTGGGACATAACGGCACACCATCACGTCTAAAACATAACGCGACTCCTGTACGGTTTAGACACAACGGCACACCACCACGTCTTGAACATATCGGGACTCCAGTAGGAGTTTGTGCAGGTTAGATACCACTGCTGATTACACAGGACGGGACACCTATGTGACTAAGTCATAACGGCACTATAGTACGAGTTAGTACTGGACAGACGTAACAGCAAGCTACGGGCTAGACACAATGGGACTCCAGTACGGCTTAGACATAACGGCACATCACTAGTAGCGAAACATAACGGGACTAAATTACGAATTCACGGGCCTAAACTACGACTTAACGGGACTAAAATACGACTTAACGGAACTAAAATACGACTTAACGGGATGTAAAATTAATGCTGCTAGATACTCACTCATAAAGGTTCTCCAGCCTGCTATCAATGTCGGCTAACGAGTGTATACTTCCTTTTTCAGGGTATTGCTTTATTTCATATTCTATGTTCTGCAGCTTCCATATCTGTCCAGTACTGGAGCTAGACTTCGGCGTGTACGTGGTGCCGCTTGAAGCAATGGGAGATAACCCTGCGTGACCAGTCAAACTTTCAGAAGTAGGATCTTTTCGGACCGGAAGTGTTTGTTTTTTAGTTTGACTTCCGTCACGCGCGGACTGTGACTTCTCTTTCTTCCCTTTCCGAGTCTGCTGGACTGCCTCTGAAAAAGGGAATAAAGGTTTGGCCAGTCACGTGATGTATCGGAATACATCAACTTGTTTAATGTATGAATACAGCTGAAATGGTTGTCGTGTACCCTGCATTTCTCCCCTACACGTCATTAATGTATGCTCTTGTGAAAGGACATAGAAGCCAAAATATAATAGTCAAACATGATAATTTAATTCATGTGCATTGTAGTAGAGGTAAGAGTAGTAGTGGTGGTAGTAGTAGTCGTAGTAGTAGTAGTAGTGGTGGTGGTAGAAGTGGTAGTAGTAGTGGTGAGGGTGGTGGTAGTAGTAGTGGTGGTGGTGGTAGTAGTAGTAGTAGTAGTAGTTGTGGTGGTGGTAGTACTAATGGTAGTCCTAGTGGTAGTAATAGTGGCAGTGGTAGTATTAGTAGTAGTGGTAGTAGTAGTAGTAGTAGTAGTAGTACTGGTAGTACTAGAAGTAATATTGGTAGTAGTTGTTGTAGTAGTGGTAGTGGTTGTTGTAGTGATAGTGGTTGTTGTAGTGGTGGTGGTGGTAGTAGTTGTTGTAGTAGTAGTTGTAGTAGTGATAGTGGTTGTTGTAGTGGTGGTGGTGGTAGTAGTAGTTGTAGTAGTATGTTTGTTCCTAACACTCACGACAGTATGGCTTTATCAATAGTACAGCAATTCCTCAGCGGCAACAACAGAAATAGCCAATGAACCCATGGATTCGAACCCGGACCTTTAGTAAGTGAGCGAACGCTCCAACCACTAAGCTACCTCTCCACCTCGACTCCCTGAACAGCAACACCTCAGTGTGACACAACACCATCTACACGGTGCAACATAGGGCGCTTACTTACTTACTTACACTGGAGATTTTACGTGCGCTTTCCGACTCAAGCGTATTTCGCACACGGGCATAGGGCGCAGTACAAACATACACAACACCATCTTCACAGTGCAACATAGGGCGCAGTACAAACATACACAACACCATCTTAACGGTGCAACATAGGGCGCAGTACAAAACTACACATCACCATCTTCACGGTGCAACATAGGGCGCGGTACAAACATACACAACACCATCTTCACGGTGCAACAGAGGGCGCATTTCAAAACTACACATCACCATCTTCACGGTGCAAAAGAGGGCGCGGTACAAACATACACAACACCATCTTCACGGTGCAACATAGGGCGCAGTACAAACATACACAACACCATCTTCACAGTGCAACAGAGGGCGCAGTACAAACATACACAACACCATCTTCACGGTGCAACATAGGGCGCAGTACAAAACTACACATCACCATCTTCACGGTGCAACATAGGGCGCGGTACAAACATACACAACACCATCTTCACGGTGCAACAGAGGGCGCAGTACAAACATACACAACACCATCTTCACGGTGCAAAAGAGGGCGCGGTACAAACATACACAAAACCATCTTCACGGTGCAACATAGGTCGCAGTACAAACATACACAACACCATCTTCACGGTGCAACAGAGGGCGCAGTACAAACATACACAACACCATCTTCACGCTGCAACATAGGGCGCAGTACAAACATACACAACACCATCTTCACGGTGCAACATAGGGCGCAGTACAAACATACACAACACCATCTTCACGCTGCAACATAGGGCGCGGTACAAAAATACAGAGTGGGTAAGGATTAGTGTGTAGGGATGAGCGGAGAGTGGGTAAGGATTAGTGTGTAGGGATGAGTGGAGTGTGGGTAAGGATTAGTGTGTATGGATGAGCGGAGAGTTGGTAAGGATTAGTGTGTAGGGATGAGTGGGAGAGCGGGTAAGGATTAGTGTGTAGGGATGAGTGGAGTGTGGGTAAGGATGAGTGTGTAGGGATGAGTGGGAGAGTGAGTAAGGATTAGTTTGTGGGGCTGAGTGGGAGAGTGGGTAAAGATTAGTGTGTAGGGATGAGTGGGAGAGTAGGTAAGGATTAGTGTGTAGGGATGAATGGGAGAGCGGGTAAGGATTAGTGTGTAGGGATGAGTGGAGTGTGGGTAGGGATTAGTGTGTAGGGATGAGTGGGAGAGTGGGTAAGGATTAGTGTGTAGGGATGAGTATGGAGAGCGGGTAAGGATTAGTGTGAAGGGATGAGTGGGAGAGTGGGTAAGGATTAGTGTGTAGGGATGAGTGGGAGAGCGGGTAAGGATGAGTGTGTACGGATGAGTGGGAGAGTGGGTAAGGATTAGTGTGTGGGGATGAGTGGGAGAGCAGGTAAGGATTAGTGTCTAGGGATGAGTGGGAGAGTGGGTAAGGATAAGTGTGTAGGGATGAGTGGGAGAGCGGGTAAGGATGAGTGTATAGGGATGATTGGGAGAGTGGGTAAGGATTAGTGTGTGGGGATGAGTGGGAGAGCGGGTAAGGATGAGTGTGTAGGGATGATTGGGAGAGTGGGTAAGGATTAGTGTGTGGGGATGAGTGGGAGAGCGGGTAAGGATTAGTGTCTAGGGATGAGTGGGAGAGTGGGTAAGGATTAGTGTGTAGGGATGAGTGTCGTTGTGGCAGTATGGATTACTGTCTCCGTGTGGCAGTAAGGATTAGTGTGTCCGTGTGGCAGTGTGGATTAGTGTGTCCGTGTGGCAGTAAGGATTAGTGTGTCCATGTGGCAGTATGGATTACTGTCTCCGTGTGGCAGTAAGGATTAGTGTGTCCGTGTGGCAGTGTGGATTAGTGTCTCCGTGTGGCAGTAAGGATTAGTGCGATCGTGCGGCAGTAAGGATTAGTGTCTCCATGTGGTAGTAAGGATTAGTGTCTCCATGTGGTAGTAAGGATTAGTGTCTCCATGTGGTAGTAAGGATTAGTGTCTCCATGTGGCAGTATGGATTAGTGTCTCCGTGTGGCAGTAAGGATTAGTGTCGCCATGTTGCAGTAAGGACTAGTGTGTCCATGTGGCAGTAAGGATTAGTGTCTCCATGTGGCAGTAAGGATTATTGTCTCCCTTTGGTCGCGTGGATTAGTGTCTCCGTGTGGCAGTAAGGATTAGTGTGTCCATGTGGCAGTGTGGATTAGTGTCTCCGTGTGGCAGTGTGGATTAGTGTGTCCGTGTGGCATTAAGGATTAGTGTCTCCGTGTGGCAGTGTGGATTAGTGTGTCCGTGTGACAGTAAGGATTAGTGTCTCCGTGTTGCAGTGTGGATTCAGCTGTGACAGCTTACCCTTCTTCTTGTTAAAGTCTTCCTCCGTCACCTCCTCGGTGGCGCCCTCTGTCGACAGTTCCAAGATCCCCACGCCCTCATCCTCGCTAGCAGACAGGTCGATGATGTCACGGCTTGTCCTGCGCGCGTCCAAACTGCCCACACGGCGCTGTCTCAGACCAGCGCGTCCTGTGGAAGATGATAGGGGGTATTAGAAACACCGCCGGTCAGTCAGCAAAGGTCACTGTAAGCTTCACTTTTGTTCAGAGGCAAGACGTGAGGTGAAATAGACAAATACACCGGCCCAACGTTTATAGTAAAAAGATAGAACCGAGACATCAGCTCACCTTCGATCTCCGTGTTCCGGCGCTTACACTGAAGTCTTGGACGCCGTTGTCGTATAAATTTCAGCGTCTCATCCTCCATTTTATTTTTAACCTTTCGTTGCAGTAGCGTTCCCTGGAATCATAAAGACATGTATTGTCGTGACATCAACCGATTCTCAAAGATGAAAATGAAATATTCTCGCACTCTAGTCGTGAGTGTATTTTGCGCTGAGAGTGTGAGCGAATTTTACGCCGTTTTTCGCAATATTCCAGCAAAATAAAAAAACAAAATCCGCGTGCTAAGTCAACATTTTACCTTTAGCCTCATACACAGGTGTATCGTAAGTCGCACAAGCGGTGTTGAACAACGTTGTGATTCGGCCCCTTACGGTTCCCTTCGGCTAGTTCCGGAGAGTCATCCTTGCTCTCTTGAATCTCTTTGTATCCAACACACAAGGAACTCGAATTACAGAAACAACGGTTTGGCTCACCTTTCGAAGATTAAAGGTCACTTGGAACTTCAGCAGGAACGTGTCTGCAAACTCGGGATACGTGTACAGAACCTCCTTGAGGTCGGCCAGCTCAATCTTGTTGATGTCGCAGTACGACAACGCCCGGACACAGTACATGGTTTTGCCTATCGTCATCTTATCCGGGTCTTTAATATCCTCGCCGAATATATCATCCTTGCCTACACGAAAAGGATTAAAACAATAGGTTAGTGAATTGGGTTTAACGCCCCTTTGAACAGTATTCCATTTGTGGGAGAAACACAGTCTGATGCAGGTTTGGATGACTACCGCTTTAGTGACACGCACAGCGACGGGTATGATGCTGACAAACCTAGGAACATGATCAGAGCGAACCGGGATTCGAACTCATGATCATAGGTTTCTGGCATGCTCAAGGGACGCAACTCTGCACAGTGAATTGCGGCACCTGAGACGACGACGACTGGTCCATCAATCAAGAATAGAAGCATTGGGCTGTAAACATGGTTTAGATGAATCAGTATATGCGTTTGTCTTGTAAACATAAGATATGACAAAAAGAACATCGCCCCATAGAAAGTCATTTACAGCGAACACGGATAGATGAATGGGTGAGTGAGTGAGTATGTCTTTACGCCGCTTTTTGCAATATTCCAGCAATATCACGGCGGGGGACACCAGAAATGGGCTTCACACATTGTACCCATATGGGAATCGAACCCAGGTATTCGGCGTGACGAACGAACGCTTGAACGACTAGGATACCCCACCACCCGCATCAATAGAGAGTGAATCAGGCTTAACACGACTAGGATACCCCACCGCCCGCATCAATAGAGAGTGAATCAGGCTTAACACGACTAGGATACCCCACCACCCGCATCAATAGAGAGTGAATCAGGCTTAACACGACTAGGATACCCCACCACCCGCATCAATAGAGAGTGAATCAGGCTTAACACGACTTGGATACCCCACCGCCCGCATCAATAGAGAGTGAATCAGGCTTAACACGACTTGGATACCCCACCGCCCGCATCAATAGAGAGTGAATCAGGCTTAACACGACTTGGATACCCCACCGCCCGCATCAATAGAGAGTGAATCAGGCTTAACACGACTTGGATACCCCACCGCCCGCATCAATAGAGAGTGAATCAGGCTTAACACGACTTGGATACCCCACCGCCCGCATCAATAGAGAGTGAATCAGGCTTAACACGACTTGTAGTACCACAGCGGGGGCACAGAGAATGGATGTTATACTTTGCAACCATGTAGGAATTGATCACCGACTTTCAACGTCTGGAACCTAGGCCTTATCCACTGGACTACCTCATCCCCCAAAATATACTACACAAAGTCAAGGACCAGCCGATGTTTTATACAATGACAGAGTAACTATAATATAAAAACACGGGTGGTCCGTATTTTATTGGAATACATCTAAACTTTCGTATTCAGCTTAATATGATAGGTAAGAAACGTTTTGGTTACACAGCAAAAACATGATTAATTTTGAAAAAAAGGTCAAATTCACTCTAAAGTCTTTTTTACAGGAAAAGACATGAGGATTTACATGTATATAGTAAGAAACAGCTTTGTAAAAAATAATTCAATGTGTTTTTTAATAAAACAACCACCTGACAGACTTTAATCTTCAGATTTGAACACGGCAGAAACGCTTCGTTTAGTTTCGCAGTTGTCTGATGCGTCCATAAAATCACCATGGCTATTGGGGTGAGCTGCGCGAGCCGAGGCTTAACGTTATTAGCCAGGCGAACATCGACGGACATCCGACACGGACCAAGTGTACAGATTCGGACCTGTCCTGGTCACATGTCCTGGTCACATGACCAACCAACAAATACTAAGTGTTAATTTCAAACTGAAGCTACTAACGCTGTTTTCGTAATGTCATTGCAGGTTCGCCGAATATACCCCGAACATGATAGCCCGACTTCGCCCGAGTACTTATCAAATTTGAACGAACAATTGAAATTCACAAATCGACCGTATGAGTCAAGGTAGTGCACTTGTAGTGAGGTTATCGGGGCCAAGTCATTCTTTATGCGATGCATATATATTTCGGAATTCCCAGAAGGAACACTTACCAGTAAATAGGCAAGTAAACGTCACACTCTGTTGCACAGGGAGCTAATCAAGATGCTACGTTAAATCTGTACTTTCATTGATTAAAATGTATTTATTTCGGTTCTGGTTTAGACACGTTGCAAAGCACAGATCTGGATGACAGACAAAGCGGTTTTCTGGAGTGCCGAATAGGAGACGAACATCAAATTGCATGCAGTGCCGGTCTGTCTCAGACTAATCTACTATTAAACTGTAACACGGTTCTGCCGCAAAGCGGACAACCACGCTTATACTATTGAGTGAAGAGTTCGCAGATGGTTTCATCATTTGGTTTTCTCTTTTGGCCGGTGGTGAATTAGTTTTGGGGGTGTTATTCTAGTTTTGTTTTTTATTTTTTTATTTTTGTTTTTACGAGAAAATACAACTTTATCGACAACAACTTCTGGTTTGTTGTTGTGTTGAGCGACGTTTCGATAGAGAGTTCACACCCTTGTTAAACTGAATGACGGTGTTAGAATCAACATCGATACGTCCCTGGATCCAAAAAACCCACAGAGTTGTTATGCCCTAAGGTTGAATGATTTCTTAGTTACTCGCCAATCAAACAGTTTTGTTTTGTTTTACTCTCTATTTTTATATTTTTTGCTCTTCATTAGTAAGAGCTTGTGTTTTACTAATAAATACGCCCGTAACTCTTTGTTTGGAAAGTTCTACCTGATACCAAATTCAAATTACTTCCAATATGTGTATTTTTAGATAATAATAATCGTCAAACACCTCACATGTGGGTAGACTTTAATGTCAAGATCTGATGTTATTACTTATATTAAAAACAAAAATATAATTGTCATAGTATTGTCAACATTCCCACCAATTTGTCTGTGTTAACACTGATACTATATAGTGCAGCTAATGTTATGTTCAATACCGCTACACGTGCACTGACGTAGATTCTGCAGGGTTATAATATATCTTTTATCTGTGCCCTAAATACGAAAAGGCTGCATTAGCTTGCTCATACTGTTGTCGTTGTCATTAACTGATATACACTAGGAAGGATCACTCTGGACACATGTGTTTTCATGCTTCCCGCGTTCGGTTTATTACCATAAGCAGGAGGAGGACCTAACGCGGGACGCATACAATCCCATGTACCCCGAGTGATACTGACACCACGAAGTTATCTTACCCACATGCTTTAATATGACATTGTAAAAGAATTAAAACAAATTCAAAATTGATACTCAGTTAGAAAACACCCGTGCGATTGAACTGAGGTTAACTTGTGCTATGCCGTGTGACTTTCATGGGAAAAAAGCAATTTGCTTCGAAGCGGGCTATAAGGGATATATTCTGCCTCTCAGAAACCCATGTACAACCTGTCTTGCTCGTGGCGGGGTATTCTCTCGCTGTGAAATTTATTTCCTTCTGAAGCGGGTTACACAGTATTTTATGAAGATCACCTGGTCCATTCAAATCTCATCATTTTGCCATTCTGATAAATGTGCTTGATGAACAGCTGTGTCGGACCGGGACATCGAATTAAAAAAACACACAGTCGGACCGGGACATCGAATTTAAAAAACACACAGTCGGACCGGGACATCGAATTTAAAAAAACACACAGTCGGACCGGGACATCGAATTTAAAAAACACACAGTCGGACCGGGACATCGAATTTTAAAAAAACACAGTCGGACCGGGACATCGAATTTAAAAAAAAAACAGTCGGACCGGGACATCGAATTTAAAAAAACAAACAGTCGGACCGGGACATCGAATTTACATAAACAACAGTCGGACTGGGACATCAAATTAAAAAAAACACACAGTCGGACCGGGACATCGAATTTAAAAAAACAACAGTCGGACCGCGACATCGAATTTAAAAAAACAACAGTCGGACCGGGACATCGAATAACGGTTTGGGACCGGGACATCACATGGATAGAATCACTGAAGCATGTAAAACCTCTTGCAATGGCGGACACGTATGACTACAGCCAGCGCCGTACAGTAGATGATTTCTTCGTTTGTCACTCAACCGATCCATAAACTAAATTATGTTGCTTGTTTATTAATAATTTTGTTAAAACATATAAGTGACCAATTCATATAAAATTACAAAAATATATTGAAACTGAATATCCAAAAAATATATAAGATAGAATTAGATTTGTGTAGAAGAGGAAAATAATACAAATACAATTTCTTGCTTACCTAGTATAGCCATGACCGTATCATCTTTGAGGATTTCTATAGAACCACGTGCTATAAAGTAGATGGCTGTCATGATAGCACCCGGATGTAGTAATGTGTCTCCCGGTGGCGCATGCGTAGTTTTGAATTTTCTGGAGAGAGCTCGCAAACAACCTGAAGCAAACAAAGTGTTTAAAATAGTCAGTGAGTTGGGTCGAACACATTTCTTTCAGGGGCGGTCGGGTAGCCTCGTGGTTAAAGCGTTCGCTCGTCACACCGAAGACCCGGGTTCTATTCCCGACATGGGTACAATGTGTGAAGCCCATTTCTGGTATCCCCCGTCGTGATACTGCTGGAATATTGCTAAAAGCGGCGTAAAAGCATACTCACTTATTTATTTATTTCACATAACGGCGTGTCAGCTTTACGTGGTCGGTAAGCCCGAAGTGAGTCAGTCTTACATGTTTCTATTTCCCGCGTGGTGAACCCACCGGCTACGGTATAACGCCCACAAACCGAGAATCACAATCAGGGAGAATGTGGGATGATCATAGGATTCTGGTACGCGTAAGGGACACAACTCTCCACGGCGAACAGCGTTGCCTTTTTCAAGTGGGTGAGTGAGTACAGTTTTACGCCTCCGTTAACAGTCTTCCACACATATAGGTGGGGTGTGAGGGGTAGGGTACACGAAACAGGCTCCACACATATAGGTGGGGTGTGAGGGGTAGGGTACACGAAACAGGCTCCACACATATAGGTGGGGTGTGGGGGCAGGGTACACGAAACAGGCTCCACACATATAGGTGGGGTGTGGGGGCAGGGTACACGAAACAGGCTCCACACATATAGGTGGGATGTGAGGGCAGGGTACACGGAACGGGCTCCACACATATAGGTGGGGTGTGGGGGCAGGGTACACGGAACAGGCTCAAGACATATAGGTGGGGTGTGAGGGGTAGGGTACACGGAACGGGCTCCACACATATAGGTGGGGTGTGGGGGGCAGGGTACACGGAATGGGCTCCACACATATAGGTGGGATGTGAGGGCAGGGTACACGGAACGGGCTCCACACATATAGGTGGGGTGTGGGGGCAGGGTACACGGAACGGGCTCCACACATATAGGTGGGGTGTGGGGAGCAGGGGTACACGGAACGGGCTCCACACATATAGGTGGGGTGTGGGGGCAGGGTACACGGAACGGGCTCCACACATATAGGTGGGGTGTGGGGGCAGGGTACACGGAACGGGCTCCACACATATAGGTGGGGTGTGGGGGCAGGGTACACGGAACGGGCTCCACACATATAGGTGGGGTGTGAGGGCAGGGTACACGGAACGGGCTCCACACATATAGGTGGGGTGTGGGGGGGGGGGGGCAGGGGTACACGGAACGGGCTCCACACATATAGGTGGGATGTGGGGGAAAGGGTACACGGAACGGGCTCCACACATATAGGTGGGGTGTGGGGGGGGGGGCAGGGGTACACGGAACGGGCTCCACACATATAGGTGGGATGTGGGGGACAGGGTACACGGAACGGGCTCCACACATATAGGTGGGGTGTGGGGGGGCCAGGGTACACGGAACGGGCTCCACACATATAGATGGGATGTGGGGGACAGGGTACACGGAACGGGCTTCACACATATAGGTGGGATGTGAGGGGCAGGGTACACGGAACGGGCTCCACACATATAGGTGGGGTGTGAGGGGTAGGGTACACGGAACGGGCTCCACACATATAGGTGGGGTGTGGGGGACAGGGTACACGGAACGGGCTCCACACGTATAGGTGGGGTGTGGGGGCAGGGTACACGGAACGGGCTCCACACATATAGGTGGGGTGTGGGGGCAGGGTACACGGAACGGGCTCCACACATCGTCAATGTGGGGAATCAAGGCTGGGCCGTCGGTGTAACGAGCAATACCATGAGACTACCCTACGGCTCCGATGTAGATGTAGAGTGAGTAAAATTTAACGTCGCATCGGCATTTTTTCAGCCATGTAGCGAGTAGAGTAAGGGAGTGAGTTGGGTTTAACGCCGCTGTTAACAGTATTTAAGTTATATCGCGGCGTGTGTGGGAGGAAGGTCTCAGACGTTTACCACTTCAGTGAAACCCAGGAGCACGGGTATGGTGCTGACAAACCTGGGAAAATAATCCGAGCGTATAGTGAGTAGAGTGAGTGAGTATGGTTTTACGCCGCTTTTAGCAATATTCCAGCAACATCACGGCGGGGGACACCAGAAATGAGCTTCACACATTGTACCCATGTCGGGAATCGAACCCGGATCTTCAGCGTGACGAGCTAATGCTTTAACCACTAGGCTACCCGACCGCCGCAATATAGTGAGTAGATGTAAAAGTAGAATAAACTTGATCCAACCAGTTCCTTGGATGATAATAATGGTGATGATGATGATGATGATGATGATGATGATGATGATGATGACTGTCACACAGTTATGTTACGATCACTTCAAGTAGAACCGCTTTCTATCTCAGATCCTGCTCTTAGCAGCACACAACCACTCCCAAACGGCCACGCCCACCCGATTATGGCGAAGTTGGATACGACGAATGACTAACCCGACTCTAACACACAATACACAAACGTGATGCGATTACATCCAAGTAACAAGATGTAAACAGGCATCACAGTGACCAGGTCAGGAAATCACTCAGCCTGTTTTCGTGTATGTCTTGCAATTCATAAGTTCCTGTGGGTAGGTGATGTACGGCGTTCAGACAAATTGCAGCACAGGTTGAGTGTCCGATAACTGAACCAGTTTCGTGTCATTTTCACTGATTTGGTCACTAAATATGACCGTCCGGAGTCCGGAGTCCGGATGTCCGGATATTTGAGCAATTTTACAGTAATGATAACAATTATCAAGTAATTTGCCTGGATCGCGATGGTCAGTTCCGACACTATGGGCATAGCCTTGAACGTAAGCACTCAAAGTGGTACTAGCTGACCTTTCATATTTGCATATTTATCGATATCTGACCCCACTGGATACCGTTTTTATCCGTTGGCTTATCTCTTAAGTTTCCCCTTATTTGATAAAGTGTAAATGGATGGATTTCCTTGGGAAGGTTGGATTTCCGGATAATGAGGTCTCACCGTACGTACACCGTATTTCGAAGGTGGATAAAAAACACAGGTTATTACGAACCAGATCCAGGGGTGACAGAATTTGGCTTGTTAAAATATTGGCCTTGTTTCTCATGACCAGCATGCCCCCACAGTTAGCCCCGCCCACATAAATGTCCCCGCCCCTACAACTGATCTCGCCCCTACAACTGACCCCGCCACTACAACTGACCCCGCCCCTACAACTAACCCGTCCCTACAACTGCGCCGTCCCTACAACTGACCCCGCCCCTACAACTGTCCCCGCCCCTACAACTGACCCCGCCCCTTAAACCGCTGACCCTGACCCTGCAATTGTCCCCGCCCCTATAGCTGACACCGCCCCAAAACATCTGACCCCGCCCCTAAACATCTGACCCGCCCCTACAACTAACCCGTTCCTACAACTGACCCGCCCCTCAAACCGCTGACCCTGACCCTGCAATTGTCCCCGCCCCTATAGCTGACACCGCCCCAAAACATTTGACCCCGCCCCTAAAGATCTGACCCGCCCCTACAACTAACCCGTTCCTACAACTGACCCGCCCCTACAACTGTTCCCGCCCTTTATGTTAATTCTTGTCTTGGGCAATGTTAAAGTCAAATTTCGTTTTTGCACCAGATTCCATGACCAACTGTCTGAGTGGGTCAGCAAGGAAATCAAGCCGTGATCACCATGGCAACAGGACCAATGGCGCAGGGGGAGGGGCAAGAAGTGGTTTCACGGTACTTTCTAAATACTTTGAAATTTGAAGTTTACTTTTACAGATTTGAAGCCCCCGCCGTCAGGCGCAGGACACGCAAGACTATGTTTAAGTGCCAGTGACAGTGCGTGTCTACAGAATCGTGTCTGTACGTGTGGAGGTATTCTCGGCGAATATCGATAGTACTCAGCCCGCCCCCTATGTTTGTAACCTTGCACGACACAAGGTCCCCGGGCCTCACCCTGAAACAGCACATAGTGTATGACGCAGATGACTAGGTGATGCAAGTGTTCCTACAGCAGCGATGCTTACCCGGACTGGCTCCTTTAAATGCGCCACAATTATTAAGTAGGTTCCGATTCAGATGAAGACAAATATCAGCCTGCAGACAGTCTGGGAAACTCTTCAACACCTGTTGAGAAAAATGGATAATAATAATAATAATAGTAATAATAATAATAATACACACCATACATTTGGTTGTTTGTTGTTTAAGCTACGTGATAAATCGCAAATAACAATGAAGGACGAAGCGTGGTTTGTTTCACGATAAAACATTGTTCTATCATGACGTCATTTCTGGAGATGCGCTCGCAAATTGAGGACGTCGTTAATGGGACGACGTTACTTAGAGGGAAGTGTCTATTAAGTCGTTCCCCATAGATGTAGCTGGGCAGCGCAATAGCCGAACGTTCGCTCCCATAGGTGTGAGGGATATGACAATCGGTACTGGGAGAAAAGTGCAGATAATCGACGTGAAAAATGTGGGAATGCGTCGTCTGGCAACATGATGATGACCCATGCTGCAACCTTAACATGGAGTTTTCACACCTCCTCGCCAGATCTGGCGGGTATTACCGGTAGAAGGGACACGTATACCCTGTTCACGAACACCCGGTGTCGTCACTGGCTTTGCCTTTTAGCCTTATTGAATCTGTTTCGGGAGACGAGATTGATTTTTCTAAATTTGAGTCTGTGGCGCTGACGTGTTTAATTTCTACCGTCAACAACTGGTTTTCCTGCTCGGCCGTGTAGTGATTTCTTCTCCTTCGAGACCATCCAGACAGTATGCTTATGTGGTTTACAAGATTCCAGAAAAAATCATTAAAACATCTGAAAAATACTTAATTAGGCCTTACGACAGAGCAGTGCGATTTGCTTTGAATTATTAATTTGGAAACATAAAACCAAATTACCGATTTTTTTATAAACATGATGAATTGTAAATAAAATTACTTTCTTGTTCTCTCGAAAACAAATACGTCTAATTTAATACAACATTATCAACAAACGAATATGATATTATCTTCAAAGCGACTCACCCTTTCAAACAGGCTGGAGTGAACTGAGAGCTATCTCCTTTCCTTTCCAATAGCAAATTACTAATTCTCAGAAGAAATTAATTCACCATGCTGATCTATTCTAACAAGATTTTAGGAAGATATTCCTCGAGCGCAGTCATTACAGAGATGACTTTACAGGGATTGGGCATTCTTTATCGTGCAAAAATCGAACTAATTTCCGTTCGTTCAGCTTAGCTTTGTCTTGGAAAAGTAGACATACCATTTATCAAAGGGTACAATAGGATTATACGGGATGCACAAAGAAAGCGAAATGTGAACGGTTAGTGCGCAATGACGTTGGAAGCATGGTGCAGTCTGTTAGTTCTGGGGACTAGGGATAATTCATTGGTTTCTGTGAAAATGTCGAATTTTAATCAAGATTTTACATGAGAAAACACTTCATACGATGTCAAGGGGCATGTTGGCGGAAGGTTTCGTAAATCCATTACATTTTATGAATTTGTTAAAAATATCAATCAATATCAATCTCACTAGAGTTTTCTTTTCCGCAGGCATTTTCGGAAATTTTAAACAAATATTTGTTTTAATTATTATATTAGAACAATTAATTACCATCGCACTTACGTTGCCGCCGACTGTGTAGATTATACTACTGAACTTTATGCTGAATAAAATTTGATTCGAATACAGAAAGGACACAAACTTTATTGCTTCGGAAAAATATGCTTTGACGTGCACGTCTAATTAATTGAGTATGTTTAATCAGTATATTGATTTATATAGTTCATTATTAGTGTTGTTATTATAATGTACAGATTCAAATATCATCATGTCGCTTAAGATACTGTGTTTGTGCCAAAGCTGGGCATCCACTGACAATGTGTTGGACAGTTTCATTAAATTCATTACATAATCATTTATCATTATTATTATTATTTACAGGTTAAAATGAAAATGCAGCAAAGAGGGTTTGGGTGATCCTGGCAAGGTCAGGCTGGTTAGGCTCATTATCAGCTCAGGGCCCTTGCCCCCTCTACACGCAGCCCAGTCAGCGAATGGGACTTCTCTCAGGAAGGGCTGCCTAGTCAAACCCACCCAGAACTTTTCGGAGAATGTGAAGAATTCACAACACTGCAGCCTTCAGCATTACCCAGATTGTCAGAAGGGCTGTATTCGTGGTAGCAAAACCTGGGTACTCTCCCGATGTCAGTCAACAGATTGGGAGGTACCAAACCTAAGGCACCGAGAACAATGGGGAGTCGGACAACTTGGTACTTGGGATGCAAGCGTGACATTTCGAAAGCGAAGTCTGCATATTTGCCATGTTTTTCCTGAATCTTGTCAATCACATTACTGGCAAAAGGGACAGAAAATTCAATGATATAAATGATTTCATTGGATTTATCAAAAAAGGACAAGATCAGGTTTGTTGGCCAGGATATGTCTGAGGCTGTATACGGGCCTATTCCAAAGGATTTTGTATTTGTCATTTTCCATGACGCCCTCTGCATACTCCGGGTCGTACCATGGATAGACCTCTGTGTCAAAACCACAAGCATGGCGACGACGGTAATAAAATGATCGAGCCACCCCATCATGTCGCTTAAGATACTGTGTCTGTGCCAAAGCTGGGCATCCACTCTTAATGTGTTGGGCAGTCTCATTAAATTCATTACATAATTTACAGGTCATATGTACATTTTGATGCAAAATCACACATTGGCGGTTTCGAGTTGGAAGTGACTGGTCCTGAGCAGCAAACAGAAAGCCTTCTGTTTCACTTTTCAGACCAGACGACTTCATCCAAGTGAATGACTCTGCATGATAGCTGATCTTCTCAACACACTGCACATTAACACGATGCAGTGGTCGTTCAGAAAGCCTCTCCTTGAGCAGCTGAGTCTGAGCCGATTTGATATGGCACTTCGCTTGGTTGACACTCATTTCTGTACCGCCCAACAGTATAGAACCATCAACAAAATCAACACCGACATTGAGATTATGTCCCACATCCTTGCCTCGTTTTAGAAAACTTTGGAATGCCTTGTTTTCATCATGAATCTTGACTTGCTTCACAAGAGGATCCTCAGACAAATAAATGTGTGCAAAAGTGCACAAAACAATTCCACCATGAAGAGCCTCCACATTAATCAAACATTATTATTATTATTATTATTATTATTATTATTATACATGTACTTTCCAAAGTGCCAGAACTGAGTATTTATGGAACAATGCCATAAAAAGCGGGTATTATAGGAAAAACTAACCATTCAGTATAACGTGCTCATACACTGATCCACAGGTACCAATCATTGCTGCTAATACGCATAAGCCTTCGATACTGAGACCTATCTGCCCTTAATAATAAGACTTCAGCCTTTGATACTGAGACACTTCAGCCTTTGATATTGAGACACTTCAGCCTTTGATACTGAGACACTTCAGCCTTTGCTACTGGGACACTTCAGCCTTTGAAACTAAGACACAGCAGCCTTTGATACTAAGACACAGCAGCCTTTGATACTGAGATTCATGAACGGTTGATGCTAAAAAACATCATTTTTTGTTACTAAGACACATCCTTTGTTACTAAGACACATCCTTTGATACTAAGACACATCCTTTGTTACTAAGACACATCCTTTGTTACTAAGACACGTCCTTTGTTACTAAGACACTTCCTTTGAGGCTATGACACATCCTTTGTTACTAAGACACATCCTTTGTTACTAAGACATCATGTGTTACTAAGACACATGCTTTGTTACTAAGACACATCCTTTGTTACTAACACACATCCTTTGAGACTAAGACACATCCTTTGTTACTAAGACACATCCTTTGTTACTAAGACACATCCTTTGTTACTAAGACACATCCTTTGAGACTAAGACGTATGAACATTTGCTACTATCAAGCAAACTGCTTTACACAAATCTTGGAAATGGTATTAGTCATGTCTTTGCGATGCAGATAATACACCTCAACCTTTTATATTCTTGGAGGAAGTTGTCATTTGTTTGAAAAATATAATTGCATAGGTCAAAAAATGTGTTGTGAAAATAGAAGCTTCTCGTTACACAGTTAATATTGCTTAATATTGCTCCAACACACCCCATCAATACTAAGTATATAGTTGCAGCTGTAGATCGTGCTATGCTTGACAGTCGGCAATGTGTATGTCAACATTTGACGAGTCCTATGATAGTAAACTAGCCTCCATGTATCGGAACACCGTTCGTGCCACGATCTGCAACTGTCTTGCATGTCACGTTCCGGGATGCAGGTACAAGCATCACGTATTATTCTCAATGACGTGTCAAGGGACAATTTATATTTCAACAATGAATGCCAGTTCCCTCGAGAGCTTGCAGATCTTATTTTTATTTCGTTTGATCAATCCAATCCCCTTTTGCTAAATTAATTGCTTAAGGCTGATAGGCCACGACTGGATACAAATGCCGATGTCTGCATGTATGCCAAGCAGGTGTTACACAAGGACTAGTCTAACTAACGCGGGATCAATGATCCACTATGTTTAGATGTTAGAAAGTCCCTCGATTCTCTATAAACTGCCGCGCACAATTACAGACGTTAGCAAAACGCTACTAGGCTGAAAACAGTCGCCGAAACAATGCATGATAACATGAGGTGAGGTGAAATGGGGTTTAACGTCGCGTCAAAGATTATTGCACTTATATAGCGACGTGCATGTACGCGTGTGTGTTTGTGTTGCTGCCTGTACTAGTCCGGACTGATGCCGATTTATAGTGCTAGCTCACTGAGATACCATGCCGCAGTTTAACATGAATACGCCACTCAGACACAGTATACTGACTCCGGGCCGACCAGTCCTTGTTTTAGCCCCTTAATGTCAAGCGCAAGACAGGTTAACAACAAATACCATCTTTCAACGTCTTTTGGTGGTCTGGGATCGAACCCCGGACCTTCCGCTCTCCGGGCGGACGCTCTACCACTAGACCACGGTGGCGGTCCATGATAACATGATGTCAAAACGCCTCTGATACTGTATCAAACACATCACAGTCGGTTAACCATTTCTTGTTTCTTTCATTTGACCTTCCATCAAACTATATATACTTTC